GATGCCGTTATACAGGCACTGGCATCTCTTTATCGCTTCAATAAAAAAAAGAGGCGCGTACATCTACGACCGGGAGCTGTTATAGGTCTGACGTGCCAGTATCCCTCTTTTTGTAGCAACGCTGGTGGAAGACGCTCAGCGCTCCTTATTGTGGAAGCAAAAGCTTCCTGTCTCGGGCCTGGTGGTGTTCGGCCCGTAAGCTCAAAAGACCGGCTCCATTCATCAGAGATGTGATTGATCGAAGCCATTTTGGTGCTGCTTTTTGAGCAGATAAAACCTAGCTTCGGGAGCATCAAATGAGTATTTTCGAGCTCTTAGCGTTCTCACATTTTCGAAGGCAAACAATTATGCCTCAAACATAGAACAGCACTGCCATGGTTAGCGATAAGAATACATGAACACTTGAACGCATAATTATAAAATAGTTTCACGAAAGATGAAGCTGACTTGCTGCACCTGGTTTGCGTGTGCCAATCAACCAGTTTCTTCTGTATAGTCACCACTGTTCTCCTCACATTGCCTCACTATACAGTTAATAATCGCACTTAAATTAAACTTTCTCCGACTTTTTGGTGCTGGAAAGCAAAAGCTGCGTGAATTTCTCGCCCAGTAGTTTTAACTATGGAAAAAAATTATTGTTGTGACGTTTGTTGTTTTAGTACAACTGAAGCGTTATATGTTTAGAGTAATTGTAGCGATAATCACTTTGTGGTTGCCGTGGTATACCGTAACTGGTTCTGTGAACATTCTCGCTGCAGCCTTGGGCAAAATGAAATCCAAACGCAATCTGTTCGGCTGGGTTGGTTGAAGATACCTCGTATCACAGGTGATGATACCGTATAATACTTGATCAGACCAGATTATTCACACGTGCTGCGCACACCGCAGTTTGTATCGTCTTCATCGGGTAACTGATCGCTTTGGCCAGCTGACCGATGTGACTCTTGCGTCCTTCCATAGAGTTATCTGTATCAAGGCACCGCTGGTCGTCTAGGTGGGCCTGTCGCTTTCGCTGGGCTTCTCGGTCGAGAATTGCTGCGTTTTGCCTACGATGCTGTTGCGCAACACGAATTTGTACCTTTCGTCGTGCATCGTATTGACGCTGTTCATTAGGTGTCTTTTATTTCCGAGGCCTACCCAGGTCAGTCTTTGAATGAACTCTGTGATTTGCTAGACGGGTCTCTGTTTTATATGCTTGCTAGGTAACTTCACCCAAGTGGAGCAAAGCGTGAAGGAAGTGTGGTGCTGAACATCCCTATTTGTTTCTATTCGGTTTTCTTTCTTTCCTTCTGTTCTTTTCTTGTCCTCTTATTCAGTGTTTTGTGCGTTTTCTCTTTATTTCTGTTTATTTCTATTTTCTTTCTTTTTTATTCCTTTAACTCTTTTTCCACTTCTCGCTTGCTTCCTCTTTGAGTTTTCATACGAGGTTTGTGTCGTGTTTTTATAGCCGCAATAGAGTGGGTGTACGCCTGTTACCTGACTAAAAATCGCGTAACATCACGTTAACAACTAGTCACGGGACAGCAATGACGTAGCACCGCGTAACTAGACACGGGATTATAATCGCGTAAAACCACGCAACGGCGCAAACGTGTGAGGTCATCTCTCGTCGGATTTGGTCCGTGCTCTCTGGCTCGTTCTTTTACAGAGCGTTCCATCTGCCCGATGCACGATTAGTCACAAGAGATAGAAATTTTGTACACCACGCCTTAGGCACCCTTACGGTGCGTCGTGCCATGCTTTTCGCAACATCCCTGCCGACTAGCCTCCTCCCGAATGTTTCTCGGGCACAACTAAGCTAGCTGAACGCACGAGGGGGAAAACCAGTGGGTACCCGATCCCAATACCGGCCTGCAACGTTTTTGCCGGGACATTTGCATAATCCTGGGAGGAGGGAAGTGAGAGAGGGGGAGGCAAAGTCAGTCCCATACATTGACAATGTAGGGACGGGTGCACTGCGACAAACTTTCGCCGCCCCCCCCCCCTCACCCTCCTGACGGGAATCCTATACGCACGCCTATGGAGAGCACGCGAAACGTATAGTTGGAAGCCGCCGATATTCGCGATGTGCGCCTGAGGTGTACGTGCGCGTTTGAAGCGTGCGTGTAGTTAGGCCTTTAAGAGGTCTCTCTTTCGGCTGCGCCAGCAAACCGGTGCTCGTAGGCACAGTATTGCCGAATACTGTGACTCCCGTCTTTCAGAGGACGTACAAAAACGTGCGTCATCCCATGCCGGAAGTTACACAGCTTCAAAACTGAGCGAACGCGTTCCGTGATGTGCGTTGACGTAGCTTCCTGCCCCTGTTAGGGGCCGCGAAGCACAGTAGGGTCTCAACTTGTCAGCGTGTCATTTCGAAATGGTGCATAAACGGGTTTACGCCACAAAAATTGTGGTAAGTGCCACTAAGACTAAAAATCAGTCCACTAAAAGTTAAAAAAAAGGCAACAGTTTGTCAAACAAGTAGCGACTACGTATCAAAATTTAATTCTAATGATTAACAAGAAGTTTGTTGAATTCCTTTTGAAGATCGATTTAAATCACAAGTTTTCTTCTGTAAAGCGTACTTCCTAACGCGTTGCAGAGCGTAACAAGAAGCCAACTTACGGTAAAATTGAAACAAGCGTAAGATGAACCTCAAGGTATAATGCATTCCGACGCTGCTTTCCGACGGCGTTTTTTTTTTTTAACTTAAATTTATATAAGGAGAGGATGGTGTCAATGCGTGGCGCCGGCTACTTCTCTTCTCTTGCACAAAAGTCAACATCGCACATTTTATAGCAAACGCAAGGCTATACATATGTACATAGCACAACACTTTCGCAATGAGTTCAGGTTGGTGGAGCCAAAATATCTTTCCCTGCATGCACGCTTTCAGGCTTGGTGCCTCATCAAACAAATCTCTCTCGAAACCCTGTGGTGAATTACGTCGGTCAGGCCCCTCTTCTTCATCTGCCTCATTGTTCATTAGGAGCGAAGCGATCTTGCTGTGAGAAACGCCGGTGCAGACTGGATGCTTGGCCCCTTTTCAGGTTTCACATTACTAGCCAAAGCTGAAACAGCCTTCCATAGATTTCTTGCCTTTCCCCAGTTCTTTGTCACTTCCCCTTCTCGTCCACTCGTCGCGACGAAAGGACAGGAAAACGTTTAGAGCGTCTGACAAATTCCTGTATCTGTGGTCGTTGCTGACGAATTTAAGCTTTTTTTTTATTTTGTCAATGAATTGGGGAGCGATGATTTTTCTAACAAGTGTGTTCGTACAGCTTTGAGGCGCGCAAGTGAATCCACCCTTTCTGTAATTGGAAAAATTGATGGTGCACGGAAAGAGGTAAGTCTTAAGGCGACGGCCATGAAATGGGCTCACGCTGTAACGCAATGTACCGAACGTCGTTGTCTTCGTCAGCCCCGTTGCTCAGAGCGCTCGGTTAACCACATAACCAAACATATGAAAAATCACCGCTGCAAAGTTCGCAAAGGCGGCAGACAAGAGCACCGCAGACGAAGCGTGATGCTGCGCTGCGTTCGTCCGTGTCGCTTTTGTCTGCGGTCTTTTTGAACTTTTGCAGCGCTGCTTTTTCAGCCACTACATTCCTACAGGCCCCACCAAAGCTCTTCTCAGTACTAATGATTGATTGATATTTGGGATTTATTGTCCCAAAACCACCATATGATTATGAGAGACACTATAGTGAAGGGCTGCAGAAATTTCGACCACCTGGGATTCTTTTACGCGCACCCAAATTATGAGCACACGGGCCTACAACATTTCCCCCTCCACTAGAAATGCAGCCACCGCAGCCGGGATTCGATCCCGCGACCTGCGGGTCAGCAGCCGAGTACCTTAGCCACAAGAGCACCACGGCGGGGCACCTCTTTTCGATACGAAGTAGTTTCATGTAATAATAATTGTTATGGTTTAGCATCCCAACACTAAGATGCGATTATCAGAGACGCCGTAGTGAAGGGCTCCTAAAATTTTGACCTTCCGAGGTTTTTTAACGTGCACCTAAATCTAAGTACACGGGTCTCAAGCATTTTCACCTCCATCAAAAATGTGGTCACTGCGGCCGGCATTCGATCCCGTGATTTGCGGGTCGGCAGTCTAGAACCGCAACCATTAGATCATTGTGGCGGGTCTAAATCGCCTCAGGAAGTTGTTTCTGTGACGACGACGACCGGAGAACGCGGAGATGCGTGCAGCTATTAAGGACGCGGCGGTTCAAGCTTCAGAACAGGAAGTCGTCGCCGACAAGTCTACTTATTTCTTCTTCTGATATCGCAGCAGTGGAACACATCAACAACTGCGCTATAACTTTGCATTACGGAGCATCGGGATCAACGGCGATACCGTTCTTTTTTTGGTTTTTTGCCTCTTTTAATAATAGGTAGTGTTTCACCGGCCTAAATCAGGATACGCTCATACGGCATGCCGTAGTAAAGGGTTGCAGAAATTTAATTCATCTGGTGTGCAATAATGTGTGGTAGGATTGCACAGAACACGCGCCCTTAGAATTTTGTCTCCATCGATGTGCGACTGCCAAGAGTGCGTGACTTGCAGGTCAGCAGCTCGAACTTGGTAACTACTATACGGCCGTGGCCAACTTTTTTTAAATCTCTTAAACGCATCATGAAGATGAATGCGCTGTTCGTAGCAGATTAGGAACGACTGAATCATCTCGGTTAACTTGCTGTTTACTAGTTAAATCTCTGGCTCAAGAAAACTTCGAGTCCCTAAATAAGAGATCAGTTGAAAGCGATAGTTATGTTTGCGCGCGTATACTTTTACTATCAAATCCAGTCGTATTTCTAATAAAATTTTCAACGGACAGCGTAAAATATCGTAAAGCTCGCGAATTTCCGGCGAAGTGCTGGTCAGCACGTTTTGAAATATAAAGAAGCGGACGTGCGAAAACGGTCGTGAGACTTGCTCCGATGCGGAATGAATAAAGTGAGCGAGCTGCGCCAGTTGCGAGGCGGCGGTTCTCGCGAGATAAATAACTTACCGTACATGATCATCTCCTGCTGAGCACGTTCTGTCTGGAAGGACGGTGATTCGGCAGAGACCTCGCAGCGGTACTTGCCCTCCGAGTTTAAGTCGGTGTCGTTTAAGTACAGGTCACTGATGTTGGAGCGGAAGACCTGCGAGTAAAAAGTTTGTGTAAGATTACGGTTGAAAAGATGAAGCCGTAACCATCTCTGTCGCTTCTCGCTTGTGCAGCGATCGAAGCGACTACTTGTCTAAATTTATTCAGCTACCTAATCAACTCGTATTCAAAGCGATATGTACAGAAAGTGGCCGTCTCAGACCATGACCCTTGCGGGGAAGAATAATTATCATTTGTCAGACCAGTGCATCGCTCTTGTATTTTTCGGTGAAAGAGGAACTTCGGTGAAAATGCGAGTGATTTTTCTGTTTTCTTTCAAGGTGCTGCACACATCAAGTATTAAGGACTTTGCAGCCGTGCGTTATTTATCATCTCCATCTTCCACCTGAACTGACGTCTCATGTCTGGCCATGAAGTTGACTTATGCGCTTGTTGCAACTGTTGCTCATTGTCTTAAGATATCCAGCGACTCATTTTTTTTTATTTCCACCCCTCAAAGTTTCGTTTAAGAGAGGTGTGGTGCTGGGGCGCCTTTTGGATGTGGTGCAAAAAATCTGCTCCCACCACTTGGCCTGTAGCAGCAGGTTGAGAGAAATCGCTCCTTGTCTCTTTTGCTTTCAGAGATATTACGGATGTTGCTTAATTTGCGTTAAAAAAAGTGAATGGTCTTAAGGTACCATATACCATGAAGAAAAAAAAATCTGAAAAGCAATCTGTCAGCGCAGTTTTTTTTCCCACACCATTCATACTGTCAGGCTTGTGTGCATGGGTAGAAACGACGGGAAAAAGAAGAGGAGCCAGCCAATTCAAGCTCATAAAAATATTCGTTGAGTACAATATTTGCATTATTCACTACATTCCACTGGCACGTGGGGAAGTTTATATTGAAGAGACGGGAAGGTGGTCAATTGGAAGTTGAAGTGCCATAATACATCCTTCAGCGAGGAGCCGGAAAGCGATTTGGCTGTTAATCGCCGCAGTTGCGTGAAATACAAATCTAGAAAGCCACTGTTTGATCACATGGCCATTTTAGGTAGTGGGAAGACACGATATGAGTGGTAAAATCTGCCAGTGTTTCACTCCAGAAATCATAACAATAACAACGTAAGCGATGTGTTTTTGTCTCAGACGTCAAAAGAGCGTGCCTATTCTGAAAGGAAAAACAACTTTGATATTTCGTCAAAAGTAATAGCAATGCGCATGTGCGTGAAGTCGAGCGCTACAATGTCATCTCTAATCAAGCACACTAGAAAGTTGGCGTTCTCCAGAGTCTAGCACCTTCTTTTTGTGTGCGTGTATCTGATTGTGCGCTCCCGTTCTTCCTAGCCACGATGCACGAACGGGCACAACTAGCGCTTATGCAGTCTGCGTTCCCGTTTTCTCTTAATTGGCTTTTTGGCTATACGGTAGTGTCCGCTTCTCCTTTGATTAGGCTTTCCATTCAGCCCAGTGGCACTACTTCTGTGGCTAAGAACAACTGCTAATAATAATAATAATAATAATAATAATAATAATAATAATAATAATAATAATAATAATAATAATAATAATAATAATAATAATAATAATATGTGGGGTTTTACGTCCCAAAACCAACATACGATTATGAGAGACGCTCTAGCAGAAAGTTCTGAAAATAATTTCGGCCATCTGGAGTTATTTAACGTGCACCCAAATCTGAGCACACAGGCCTACAGCATTTTCGCCTCCATCGAAGATGGAGCCGCCACAGCCGGGATTTGATCCAATGACCTGCGGGTCAGCAGCCGACTGCGTTAGCCACTAGACCACTGCGGCGGGGCTAAAGCACAAGTGCTCTAATATCATTTGTACACCTGATGCAACGTGGGGTAGGCCGTGTTGGCTTTCCGGTTCGGCTAAGGCGCAGTTCTCGCAGACGCTTTGTCTTTCGCACCCTATCAGCCTTAGACGCCAAACCAGCTGCATACGGCATGTTCAACATTGATCAACAGTATTTAGAGCCACCCCTGCTTCGCTTGTTTCAGCTCCGATTAGCAAAAGTGCAGCACTAAGCACTTTAGAAAGGCAAACATGTCGACGGGCGAGTGTCGTGAAAATGAACGGTTCAGTTCAGAGCTGGGTGGGCTACGCTGTCGCTCGTTCATGGCGCACATCCTGCACTCTTCAAGATCACTGAGTAGCAGCGTAGATGGCTGCTAGAAATACCACGGAGCGAACCATTCACCGTATCAGAACGTCGATCGGCAAGAAATTCGCAAGACGGCCACCTACCCGCAAATTGTGCCCAGTTACGCTTGTACGCTTTGCAAACGCCTGTGGTTTATGGCAAACTTGCACATTGAAGAGGCGGGTGAAATGTAGTGCCTTCGTTTAATCTACCCCGTTCCCGAGTGGTGCAGCAACTTTTCATGGGACAAGTTAGCGTCAGTGCTTGTCTTTCGGTGACCATGTGTTGGCGGTGTGAAAAATGTGTTCCAACACAGACCAGCTTTTTTTTCAGCTTTTCTTTGCCTCACTACATGCTCACCTCATATGGTTGCCTCTCACGAAAGGCCCCTTAGTTTACAAGACATGCTGCGTGAATGCAGCATTTGTGTTCACACATTTCTCTTCGTTGACGTCGAATCTATCCAATGTAAGCACGTCGCGAATAGCGTGAAGCATTGCGAGAAAAAAATAAACGCGATGTTAGATCTGAGGAACAAACACAAAAGAAGGTGTACTGAACGACCTGCAGAATAAAATTAATCGAAAATTTCCAGTTGGGTATTCAGCGCTCGTCCTGTTATGTTTGTTCCACAGCTCTGTCCTCGATCTTTCGTGCAGCTTTAAGTTATCTGCTAGATCGATCGAATCATTTAGACCATCAAGTTGTTGTTGTGGCACGCTCAGTAGACGTCCAGGAACTTCAAAACGTCTGCTGATGAAATAAACTAAACGCGTTTACTACAACAGCACTGGCCATGTTGCAGGAAACAGGTGCGGCACTGAATGGAGCCAGCATTGTATTACGACGTTCACTCGTGCCTCTCTTCACTGACCTTGATGAAAAGAAGGACTGGGCTTTGTATCCTATTATTTTATTCTTTAAGGAGAAGCTCGTTAATCTATTATTTAAACTAATTAGTAATACTTTAAGTTTTATGCGTATACTAGAACTGAGCGGCTTGAATTGAACACACCTTCATATGGCCCTGCGGAACGCGACAAGGTCGTGCACCCAACTCAATGCCACGGAGAGACCGGCAAGCCAATCATACCGGCCACCTGGCGAACCCTCTTGACAGCCATGACCTAATTCCTGGGAGTGGCGCTATACTTGGCCAAGTAGTCAAAGTCGAAAGAACACTCCTACCAGAAAAAAGCTATTTTACACATGCTTAGTGAAAGTTCATTTGTCATGTATCGTCCTGAAGTTGAGCTACATTGCTGACCGCATGAATGGAGCTCGAGTACGATCGTGATTCGTTAAGGAATAAAACTTGCCAACCAGGCGTTCGTAGTACTAAGTTGTATCGTGTCTATGTTCTCTTGTTTGTACGTACCATTAAAGTGATTTTGTTACACCAGACAAGTGTGCTCACCTGAAGTGCTGTTACTACTATGCAATAAGCTTCCCTGTTTCGAGCCACAAAGTTTTGGTAGGGCACACTTGAACAGGGAAGTGCTCGGAACGACAGAACCACCAGTGTACAGCAAATGAAGCTCAAACAGGGTCAATACGTTTGTGGCGCTGCGATCGGTAGCCTGCGATGTGCCCTTGTTTAAGAATTGCGATCGGCTCCGCCGAAGCGGTGCGCGAGTAGAATGCCCGTTTCGCACTAAGAAGGCCCTAATTGGAATTACCGCTGTTGATGGTGATTTATTGTTTTTAGTGTCACTTGTTATAAATGTATTGATTTTCCTTTATTCCCTTAAACTAGCTTAACGCATTGCTACTAAAACTAACGCTATAGATGTGAAGTCTCATTTCGATTTACTTCATGTTTCTGTTGAATGTGGCGTGATGGCGCTGAAAATAATTACGCCCATTGGCGAATTTTTGCTAGATCACTTCCCATTTCACGAAAAGCTTTGTGGCAATATGTGGACACTAAAGCTACTTTCAAAAAAAGAAGAAATTCTACACGGGTGTAACGAAAATATTACACATTAAAGCCCATGACTCACCGCTCCGAATCGAACAAAAGCATTTTAAGAGGGAAACGGACATTCTAACTCTGCACCACTCGGTTGGAGCTGCGCACGATTCTTGAATGACGACATATTGCTGGCTACCGTTCTCAGCGCCACTAGCGGCTTTACCCTGTTTTCAGTATACTTTTTAAAGCTTGTTTCGAGCACTCCCTTGTTCTAGTATACTCTGCTTTTGACCACTTCTCTTACTGAGAACTTGATATGGGTTTGCTTGTAGCTTGACGCCATGAATGGTGGGCTCGTAAATTGACCTTTCTTAACCATTCCATCACTTTGCGGGATTTCATAGACCTGATTTGCGGTAATATGGGCCTAAACTCGTACGGGATGTGGTGAGGGATGCCATGGATGAATTTTTTTATTTCGAAAGCTTATACTTATGCATAATAATTCGCGCAATCAATTGATTGATTGATATGTGGGGTTTAACGTCCCAAAACCACTATATTATTATGAGAGACGCCGTAGTGGAGGGCTACGGAAATTTAGACCACCTGGGGTTCTTTAACGTGCACCCAAATCTGAGCACACGGGCCTACAACATTTCCGCCTCCATCTGAAATACAGCCGCCGCAGCCGGGATTTGATCCCGCAATTTGCGGGTCAGCAGCTGAGTACCTTAGTCACTAGACCTCCGTAGTGGGGCGGAATAAAGCGATTCCAGCAGCAAAATGTAAGGAATGTTCTTTTACGCAATCTGTTCGTTGCACTAATAATCTGCCAGAAGAACATATCAATTTCCCATTAAATTTTCTTCACGCAACTGCATACTTTCGTGCTATACGTACTTCTCCACTATTATTTGTTACAATAAATATGGATGTTTTACTTATATGCTGACGTATATTGGCAGGAATTCTGAGTTTATGTCTGTACTTCTTTGTAACAGGTGCTCATCAAATGATTTAATGACAGCATTTTAATTATCCACTCGTCTGTTTGCTTGATACTTTAAAAAAAAGAATGATTTCATTGACTTTTGTATGATATGTCACATAAGAAATCAGTACCACAGCTTGCCCGTAGTCAAACACACGCGCCAGCGATGCATATATATATATATATTATATATATATATATATATATTGTAGTGTCGAAGAGGTTTTTGTAGAAGTGTTCGCACTACGTGGTTTGTTGCAGCACTTGTTTTGTGAAAAAACTAAGAATTTGTGCTCACATCGATGTGTATGCCGGGCATGTTGTAGACCTTCACTCGAGGCGTCTCGCTGGGCAAGTACCGGTATATCTCGACGTTGTTCTTGTACCACTTTATGGAGTAGAGCTGGTCGCGCTCGAGGTCGTAGCTGCAATTCAGCCACACGGGTTCTCCTCGGCGTGCCACGTACGGAACGTCCAGCCGGAGAAGCCGCAGACAGGTGCCGCCCTCTGGGGGAACGAGAAAATTTTTAAAAATTATTGTACGATATTTAGGAGATGTTGTCGCTTTTGTGAGGCGCCAGCTACTCTTTTTCATGGACATGAAAAGCATAGTAACGAAAAATTCCATAAATGGAAGAACAGATCAGGAGAGTTCGCACGAAGAAAAACGCAATTACATAACACTGTAGTTCTCATCAGACGCAGTTTCCCGTACACTATATACGCTGCAAATTATCCCTACACAACGTCCAGTCATGTAGCATCACTAATAGCATGAAAATAGTCGCATCCATGTGCCGAAATAGAGGGAAGTAAATAACCTTACATTTTTAAGTTAGCGCAGCCACACTGGTGAGCATTGGAAAATATCAGTGCAATGTCGAGGGTCCTGTGAACCCCAGTAATTATGCACTGCATGCAAGAAGTAATAATTACTTGATGTGATTTATTTTTCTGAAACCACGACGAGATTATGAGAGACACCATAGGGGAGGGCTTCGGAAATTCTGACCGCCTGGGGTTATTTAACGTGCACATAAATCCACCCCCGCCTCTTTTCCCTGCAGGGGTAGGGTTGGATTTAGTTGCATGTATATGCAACAAAACCACACTCTATATATTTTGTTAATACACGAAGAAGGAAAATGTAAATTAAGAAAATATTATACGCTGAAAACTAGTAGCAGCTCAAGCAGTATGCTATAAAGGATTCCTTTGATAAAGCACTTGTAAATGAGAAATCTACATGTAAAAAAAATTAATAGTTTCGGCCTAGTGGTTCCAAGGATGAAGGAACGTTGGAGCTGGGCACCCTTCTTTGTTTCTCCTCGGTTTTCTCTCTCTCTTTCCTCTTCGTTTCGGTGCTTTATTGCAGTCATTTTTAGGTTTTTCTCTTTATTTTCGTCTTTTTTATTTTTTTCTTCCATTCTTTTCTTTCTTTTTTCTCCTAATATTGCTTGCTCTCTGGCTTTATCAATTTTCAGACGTGTATTGCGTTGTCGTGTTTCCCTGGCCACATTTGTAACCCGCACTTTGTATCATCATGAGGTCGCTCGAAGAACAGGAGGAAGAAGACTTCCCCTTCAGTACGAGTGCGTGGTCAATACGCTACACTATAGGCTATGCTCTGTGTGGTTTTGCTTGTGTTGATATCATCATTAAGGCGATCGAAGAGAAAGACGAAGTATAATTGCTTTGAATTCATCACCAAGTTGCTCGAAGAAAAAAATCACATCATATCCACGGAGTGAATGATGATGAGTGGGGCGAAGCGTCCGTCCGTCCATTCTTGTGTCCGTCCGTCCGTGCGTCTGGACGGACGGAAAGAGGTAAGGACTGACGGACGGACTGACGGGCGCATGGACAGACGTATGGACGTACGAACGGATGGACAGACAGACAGAAGCACGGACGCAAGGACGCTTCGCCCCACTCATCGTCATTCACTCCGTGAATATGCTGTGAAAACCACTAACGTCATCTAGTTCTATTATTCCCAATCACATATGCAGACAACGCCATCTATTGAGCAACCTATAAACTAGAGGTGGCTACAAACTGATTGATTGATTGATTGATTGATTGAGTGATTGATTGATTGATTGATTGATATGTGGGGTTTAACGTGCCAAAACCACCATGTGATGAGAGACGCCATAGTGGAGTGCTCCGAAAATTTCGACCAGCTGGATTCTTTAACGTGCACCCAAATTTGAGCACATGGGCCTACAGTATTTCCGCCCCCATCGGAAATGCAGCCGCCGCAGCCGGCATTCGATCCCGTGACTTGTGGGTCAGCAGCCGAGTACCACCACGGCGGGGCAAGGTGGCTACAAACTACTACTGCGACTACAGAGGAGGTAATGACCAACGGCATAAGAAGAGAGAGAGAGGGGGGAACACAACATTATTGTCGTCAGGTGATCCGCCAGGCTGAACTGGGTGGCCCTGCCCTTTGTTCGGAGTAGTGGATGTCAAAACTGCCTCCCACATCTCTGGCGAGCGAGTGGCCAGGAAGTCGGGAGGTGGGGGATCTTCCCCGCAGGCCCCGAGAATGTAATTAAGTGTGGCTTTTGAGCTACAATGCGAGCAATGCGGATAAATCGTGTCGGGGTATATGTGCTTCGCCCCTGAAGGACTTCTATTTGCGTGACCGCGTGCTCTGTATGTTACAGCTCGCTATGCATTATCTGGTTTTGCCTGCGTTACACAGAGCGATGACGACAGCATATGACAACATGTACGACAGCCTGAAGGAAGGAAAATAGGAGGAAAAGAACGGCAGGGAGGTTAACCAGCCCATAGGCAGCCGGTTTGCCACACTGCGCATGGGAGGGGGATGGGCGAGATGAAAGATAGAGAGGGAAGAGAGATAAACGCAGTACATTCGGCAGCACAAATAAAAGTCCTCAAAGTGCTCAGCACCTAAATAAAATAATAGTTAATTTTAAATGTGATTGGGTTCTCGCAGGTGGACAATAGTGTGAGGGACCCCGTTCCATATATGTATCCCACGAAGCCGGGCACAATTATTGAACGCAGGCGTTCGACCCGACATGTGTTGAAAGCGCGTGACATTATCAAGACCTCGAGAAGCAGTGTGACCTTAAAAGAGGCACTGTGGTTTGAATCTTGCTGTATATATTGTTTCATGTAGTAAGCCTATCGGAGCAATATCGGGGCAGTCACTCGCGCAGTGGTGCATGATCTTTCCAATGACAAGTGTAAATGAACGCCGTGGACGCCGACGCGTCATCCGAGGACGCTCATTTCCTCAGGCCGTAAAGACCCTTAGCGGGGAGTCTTTCGGGATAGAGGTCTGCATTCGAATCTGCCGCGTAGTAAGTATAGTTACTGGTTGCGTCCCTGCCGCGGTCCTCTTCCGGCGGCCGCTTTGGAAACGGGCCGCTGGACGCTGCGTGATCCCGACCGGACGTAATGACCTTTAAAACCTCATAAATATTCAAGCGGCGCCGGACAAGAGCCGGAAACCGGCGCATCCCCTAAACCTCGTCCGGCGTGGACCGGGCTCTGGTCCCTAAGCCATCTCTTTGCACGGCTGGGCTACGCATGTCTATCGATCTTGTCATCCGACATATGGCCCTCTCTTATTATGCACTCGTGTTTCCTCGCTGGCCGCACTACTGCCCTCAAAAGGAGACCGTCTTCGACGTCTGCATCGTAGTTTCACGCGACGTAGGCTATATATGTAGAGGAGATTTAGAATGCAGCGGCACTTAAGTTTGTGAAGCCGCATGCGTACTATAGGTGTGAGTTTGAAGACAATGACACCAACCCGCCATGTGCTTAATTACTCGTCTGTACTACTAATGCAGTCTGATATGTACGCTTTCTCTCTGCCACACATTACTGAAGCTGATATATTTTTCTCTAAATGCGCATGGCTACTCGATTATACTAACAAATATTGGAGACTATTTCTGCGGGTTCCTGTGTATACAGAAGTTTAAATTTCATTGGTTATAGCATTGTTCAATGTTTTGTTATTGTTCAACGGACTTCACGTGTATCGAGCAAGCAAACTGTCAATGAATATTCACATTCCAACCCCTCTTTGCGTTGTTTAAAGCAGCTTTCAAACTCTTTCGAAGCACCTTTTAGGGGCGAAGCTTCTTAAAGCGGCACCCGTTCGTCCCTCGCCGTAGTGCTAACCAGTCTCGTTTATACCTGCAAGGTGATGCCGGTGGGAGATTTCTCCTGTGGTTTGTCGAACAATAAAAAATTCGCAGCGTGCGCGTTAACTAAAAGCCGAAATCTCCTTTCTCTCATTCCACATTAGCAGCCATTGGCATGTACATTGAGCACTATCTGACAAGAAAGGGTTGCGACGTTATACTCGCTGGCGTAACCTCCTTGGTTTTAGAAAGGTTTAGCGAGCATTGGGCTGCAGTGCCATGAATACAGTGAACTAGTATATACCATGAACTCGAGGTGGTTAAAGGTGGGAAGTAGACAAGAAGTGCAAGCCGTAAGAAAGTATGTGTGTGCCACCTCTCGTTTAGTCCTTGGAATGTCCGCTGGATGGCGGTGCTTCTATATGCGAGATATATGATGAAAAGATGCGAGATGGTGATACTTGGAGTGTTGACTAGATGGATGAACGGACACAGAGACAGATGCATGGACGGACGCACGAATGGCTGCACGGACGGATGGACGCATGGACGAACGCAGGGACGGACGCACGAATGGACGTGCGGACGCACGAACAGATGCACGCGCGGGCGGGCGGATGGACGCATGGACGGTCACACAGATGGACGCATGGACGGACGGAAGCAAGAACGAATAAACGGATGGATGCTTCGCCCCACTCTCCATCATTCACCCAGCGGATATGCTGCCATTTTTTTTTTAATTTATCGGTTGCACAAACTGATGAATGTCAGTACAGGGGAAGGTATTAATATGAATAAGGTTTTTATTTCAATCACGCGACACAATCCCTCCATTGATGCCGGCCGTATGAACACGCAGTGGCCCTCGCCTTCACTATGGCGGGCGGAGGCGGTGGAGGAGAGCTTTTACTGGATAAGTGTAATGTTAGAAGCGATCAAGATAATGCACAAAAAAACACACTTTAGCGTTTTGTGTTGCGTCCATTGAACGCCCAGTAGACGCCGTTGTAAAAAGAACAGAATACAAAAAACAAAGAGAATACCGCTACGAAACACGATAGAGACGCTGGTTGTTATATCGCCTCAGGCTTTATCGCTTGCGTGGATCAGATGTCCATACGAAAGGCTATTCTCTCTTTGAATAACAAAGAGCTTTGCTAGATGGGTGGTATTCACGTTCTTGTTTGTGTATGCTATCGAGCTACCTCATTGCGTACGTGCGGTATCCCTCTTGTAGCTCGAGAGGTGTTTGTGTGCTATAACTTTTAGACCTACATGAACACATAGCGTGGAAAAAGTAAAAACCTACAGTAGGTGGTTGGCGCACTGTCTCCTTTTCAGCCTGTGGCCTCGGAGCGTAGAAATAAT